TAGAAAATAGAGGTCAAAAGCGTAATCATGATTTTAATTTTATGTTGAATAAACAAATAAACATATACTTTTTTAACTTCACGTGAATTGAATTGATGGGATATTACACTTGACAAAATATACAGGAAAAGAAATATAGATAAATAACTGTGAACAAAACTAGTAAAAAAACTTTCTAAATTAGAAAAAAAATGCCCATATAAATAACTCCACACACTGTAAAAGACGATTAGCTAAACGTACCTGTGATAAAACAAATATATAACAGAATTAGCCACTTCAGAAAAGCCGCTAGACACGCACTACCATTTAATGAAAATTTCCTGGTAAACGATAACTTTTCCAGGGAGGCAGCTCGACTACCACCAATCACCAACTAACTGTCTACTAACAAAACAGATATTTTTTAAACACAACACGACACACGATAATACCGTCAGGACGCCCGGCGTCGCTACGCGTTTTCCGATTAATACAAACCTCGCCATGGTTCCCTTCGACATGGGTCAATCAAACTAATAATTATCCTGAAAGTGATGAATTAAATTCCACTATTTAACTTGAAACTTTCGAATAAAAAAAAGAAAATTATTTGGAAGTTTTCTGATAAAGAGATTTCAATAGAATACAAGAAAAAATATATTTATTAAAACTACGTAATTATACATAGTGAGGCTAACGTATTGAACGCTTAGATCGATGATACCCAAAGTGGTCTATATACAGGGATTTCATGTCAAAACTAGCCACCCAAAATAACTTTTAAAATATCTTTAAAACAAAAAAACACGTTAATTTATATTTATGGGGGGGACACATTTTACAAGTATCTGTAACCGTGCAGTTTCATCCCCTAAGCGGTGGTGAATATCACTTCTAAAATTTTAAATAGAAAGGGGTATCATGTGATAGCTCTTCTTAAAGGTCTTTTTTCCAATCTTTTGACACATTATTTTTTAAATCGGATTAATTTTTCACCAAGCTATAACCTAGAAACCAGAAAAAATTAAAAATATTGAATTAAAATGCATGAGTATAAATACCGAGATAAACAAGTTAGCAAAAAGCCTTAAATGTTTTTTGCGTAAGATATTTTTGACCGTAAATTAAAACAATTTATTATTAGTAGATTATTGGTTTCGTTGTGTACTGACAATTTAATTTTGACAATGGTTTATTCTTTACAAGAAAGAATTGAAATAATCTTTATTTATGGTGAAGAACAACGCTGTGCACGCAGAACTGCTCGTGTTTTTAATCAGAGACATCCCGATAAAAATGTTGGGCATCAGTATGTGTTGGATTTACTAGTAGTTAATAAATTTCAAGAAACTGGAAGTGTGTGCAATAAAACTGTAAGGAATCGTAGAGTTTTAACTGAAGCTGCACAAGTTGAGATTTTAGGTCATTTTGCCATGGAACCTCAAACATCAATACCAAAAGTCTCCAGATTAACAAATATTTCCGTTGGCTCTGTGCATAAAACGTTACGGCTAAATAAATTCTTTCCTTACAAAATACAGCTTTTACAACAGCTTGCTGAGGATGATTATGACAGAAGATTAGAATTTGCGAATTAATGACTCAAAGGGCAAATGAAGACCATAATTTTATTAAAAATATTTGTTTTACTGTCGAGGCAGGTTTCTTTTTAAATGGATTTGTCAATAAACATAATTGTAGGTAATGGGACAATACAAATCCACATGTTTTTCGGGAAGAGCACAGCCAATATCCTCAGAAAATCAACGTATGGGCCGGAATTCTTGGTAATAAAATTATTGGTCCTATTTTCATGGAGGAAAATTTAACTGGGGAATTGTATTTGAACTTATTAGAAAGTCTGATAACTCCTCTTATAACCGAATCCTTAGAAAACCAAATAGATCAAGATGGAAATTTGTTACTAAACGATGAAAACTTATTTTTTCAACAGGACGGAGCACCTCCACATTATGCCTTGCCTGTACGAAATTGGCTTAATGAGACATTTCCAGATAAATGGATCGGAAGAAATGGCGCTATAGAATGGCCAACGAGATCACCCGACCTAACGCCCCTTGACTTTTTTTATGGGGACATCTAAAAACTGTGGTGTATAAAACTCAACCTCGCGATATTCCTGAACTTAGACGTAGAATAGTGGAGGAGTGTGAGCGGATTACACCAAAGACGCTTCAAAAAGTGCGGGATGAATTCGAGCTGCGACTTTACCATTGCCTTGCCAACAATGGCGGACATTTTGAACATCTTATTTAAGTACAATGTAATTCTTACGCAAATAAAATATTAATAATGTAAATACAATGCAAATCATTATTATTTTAATCTAAAAGGTTAAAATGGCATAACTTGGTGAAAAATTAATCCTATTTAAAAAAATAATGTGTCAAAAGATTGAAAAAAAAAAGACTTTTAAGAAGAGCTATCACATGATACCCCTTTCTATTTAAAATTTTAGAAGTGATATTCACCACCACTTTGGGGATGAAACTGCACGGTTACAGATACTTGTAAAATGTATCCCCCCGTAAATATAAATTAACGTGTTTTTTTGTTTTTTGTTTTAAAGATATTTTAAAAGTTATTTTGGGTGGCTAGTTTTGAAATGAAATCCCTGTAGGTCGACGATGACCTACAAGAATTGGGGATCTGTATGTAAACGGGGATCCACGATGGTCAATATCATTTAAGCAGGCCACGACTTTAATTTTGACTTTCAATTAATGGAATAACACACATACAGAGATGATTTGTTGCTCAGTTTTTACCTGAAAACACAATGTCGTGAAAACACCTAAAGCCGACTCTGTTCTTTGTTGTTCGTACCCGCGACAAGGAGTCTAGTGCTGACCATATCGAGACCCGCCTCGAGACTCGAGAAATCGACTAGAATGTTTTCTATCGCATTCTGACGCCTGACGCGTGGAGGATAATTTCCAGAAGTTCTAGACCGAGCTTCTAGTCAGAGTTGGTCCGAATTCCGAACATTATAATAGCTATACAAAAAACAAAAATAATTGAAATTTTACATATAGAAAATAAGAGCCTTAAATTAAACCATTTAGAAACACTTGAAATAAATAGATTAAAAATGCATATTCATATTTTTCACTTGTTTGTTTTTAATTACTTATTTTTAATTATGTTTATTTATTTTTTTTAATTTTTATTTAATTTATTTTTATTTATTATTTTATTTTTATTTATTTTTATTTATTTTTATTTATTTTTATTTATTTTTATTTATTTTTATTTATTTTTATTTATTTTTATTTATTTTTATTTATTTTTATTTATTTTTATTTATTTTTATTTATTTTTATTTATTTTTATTTATTTTTATTTATTTTTATTTATTTTTATTTATTTTTATTTATTTTTATTTATTTTTATTTATTTTTATTTATTTTTATTTATTTTTATTTATTTTTATTTATTTTTATTTATTTTTATTTATTTTTATTTATTTTTATTTATTTTTATTTATTTTTATTTATTTTTATTTATTTTTATTTATTTTTATTTATTTTTATTTATTTTTATTTATTTTTATTTATTTTTATATATTTTTACACCCCTTAAAATGGGAAAGTCCAAAATCTTGAAAAACGTCATTTATTTATTTATTTATTTATTTATAATAAGTAGCTACAATTCCAATTTTCAAGTACCTACTTTTAAAATAATCAATACCCCCATACAAACTTTTACCACCCCCCCTTCCCCTCCATAAATGTAAAAATTTATAATCCTTATGTGCATCATTAGTTATTTGTGATGGGTAGCTACAATACCAATTTTTAAGGTGATTACAAGGATATCTCAAAAAGTAATTTTTTTAAAAAAATTAAATTTTGGAAAAATATATTAGGCAATAATGTCTAGAATTTGCATATATTTTAAATTTTTAATTTTTTCCAGTTTCCGAGAAAAAAAATCAAAGGGCTTTAAATTTTGAAATATCATAATGAAAATAAATGCATTCCTCAACAGCACCATTCTTAATATAATCCCCAAATTTAAGCTCTTAATCTCTTGTTAATGATTTTTTAAAATTCGCCGAAATTAGTGGCTAAAACGCCTCGTTAAATGCTATTTTCTGGTGTAAACTGGTGTAAACTAGTGTAAATCGTTGCAAGAAACGAATGATGACTCATAGTGTACGATATGATAGTTACAGACGCGTTACACCAGAAAGCAGCACTTAACGAGGCGTTTTAGCCACTAATTTCGGCGAATTTTAAAAAATCAAATACATGAGATTAAGAGCTTAAATTTGGGAATTATATTAAGAACACTGCTATTGAGGAATGCATTTATTTTCATCTTGATATTTCAAAATTTAAAGCCCTTTGATTTTTTTTCTTGGAAATTGGAAATAATTAAAACTTTAAAATATAAGCATATTCTATATATTATTGCCTAATTCATTTTTCCAAAATTTTAATTTAAAAAAAAAATACTTTTTGAGATATGATTGTCCGAAAATTATAAGGGGGTGCTGTAATCCACCTTAAGTTGTTACCTCTAAAAAAATCAATACTTCCATACAATTCGCCCCCCTCCGTTTCCCCGTTTACATGTTTCCCCGTTCTCTATTCTTCGTTCCCCCCCTCCGTCTTCCCCTAAAAATGTAAAAATCCAAAACCCTGAAATACGTCATTATTTATTTATGATGAATAACTATGATTCCAATTTTCAAGTTCCTACCTCTAAGAAACCGACATCCCCATACAAACTTTCACTCCCCGTTTTCTTTCCGTAAAATGAGATTTGTATAAAATCGTTAGTAGGGGGGTCTACGTCGAGAAAGGAGTAACTATACCAAATTTAAAGTTTTGAAGATTACCTTGTTCCCTTTTGATTTAGATAAAGTAGAAAGATAAAGCAGAGAAAATGGAACTTCTACATGAGTCACCCGGTATATAACGATTTTATAACCGAAGATGACTCAAACGAGAAACCAGCATCGCTAGGCATCATCCGCTTCCCCGCCACTGCGCTAAAAAGTTGTTCTTCGCGGGACTGCTTGCCCCGCGACAAGCCATGGAAGTGGCCCAAGAGGACCATCATCGTAACCCAGACACTGCACAGACAGTTCCACAATCCACACCAGTTCATGATACTCGGTGTAATATGTGAATGTGACATTTCCATTTCAAAGCCCCACGTTAATATCGTACACGTGCGTCGTGTATTTAGTTGGAAGTATCGAAGCAATACGGCACGCGCCAGTTGTTCTTTTTTTTGTTTCGTATCTTTTTCTTGTGTAATATTTCGGTACGCCGGGGACTGAACTGAACTGAAGACCGGGCTGGCATTTTAGTCGAAAGATCAACGGGGGCATTATGTGCATGAGTTTCGGATTTGTGAAAGGTTTTGCTGAAGTCTAGGATAACGATTTTTCTTAAAAAAAAACAGGTTGGTACAAATTTAAATTATAATATTTATTTTGCTAAAAAAAAAAAACAATTTCCTTTGCTTAATTCTTAATCTGTATGTGAAATAGTCCTATAATAATGACTGTAGATCCAAATAATATACAATAATTAAAAATACAATAATAAACAATAATAAATTTAAATAAACAGTAGAATAATGAATAAAGATTCAAAAAAGCGATGGGAATTTTCCGACTTGATTTGGTAAAATTACAGATATATCATAAAACGCATTTAAAATAAGAATATAAAAATAAAAAATAGTAAAAATATAAAATTATAAGAAGTTAACCTAAGACTAGCATAAAAGGCTATAAAGCTAATAAATAATATAAAATATACAGGGTGTCAATTTGAAAACTTTCAATGCGAATATCTCGCAAAATAAAGAAGTTGGAGAAACGTCGTTTGGCACAAATGTTATAGAGTTAGGGGGAACTAGAACCACCATATTTCAGTGAAGGCGTAAGTCACCCCTTAGGCGCGACACACTCCAACTTTAAAATTTCAAATGGCACTACCCCTTTTGTTATACCTCAAATGAAAGGTCTCATTTAGTAGTATTCACTTGTACAAAAAAATGTTTCCATTCAATACAGGGTGTAACAAAAACACTTATCTTTTAAACTCATCTTCTGTGTATTTTGACACAACTTTTTCAATGAAATTTTCAATCCGAAAATGATTTTGTCTGTCAGTTTCTTCGTCTGAAGACAATGATGAAGATGAAGTAGACTCCGATGATAAAGGCTTGCTTGTAGGTCGTCATGAGTTCCTAAATAAAATAGGTTTGAAATTGCCTTTGAGAAAAAATTATATTTTGCATGACTTACTTTCAAAATAAATTCCTTAGGATAGTTAGGATCCATTTTCTCAAACTGTAAAATCTATAAATCGTATGTAAAAGGTAGTATAGGTAATTATAAATCAAAATAATAAAACAATTTCTGACTCTGACTTCTACAATCACAAATAGTCTCATGTCAGTCTGTCAGTTGTCAGTTTTTACTGCACGTGTGCTTGAAACACTCGTTATGCAAAAACACATTCCTTTAGGGTGCAGTTCCGAGCAACACGAGTTTAAAGCTCTCGCTGCTTCGAACACACAAAATGTTTGTATAAAATTTAGTCGTTTGTGCAAGGTTGTATTGCAAAGTCAGAACTGTCTAATTAAAGAAATATGAGTATAATTTTTATTTTCTGTTCATCATGGTTTACAGTTTGGCTGAAAGAATTCAGATGGTGTTTATTTATGGTTCAGAAAATCGTTGTGCCTTAAGAACTGCTGCAGCGTTTAACGAAGAAATAAACCCCGGAAAAAGTCATACTTACATCAAACAACTGATTATTAAATTTGAAGAAACAGGATCAGTGGCAAACGACATTTTGCTATGAATCATACATTGTCTCTACGCCAAGCTTCGGCGATAACGGGAATTTCTCATGAAGTTGTTCGTCGGGTACTCAAACTTCATGAGTTTAACCCGTACAAAATGCAAATTCTTCAGGAGTTGCAGGAGGATGACTCCGATCGAAGAATGCAATTTTGCGAGGACATGACCAAAATATTACGTTTTATTCCCCAATTGCTAAAAAATATTTGTTTTAGCGACGAATGTACGTTTCATTTAAACGGTTCAGTGAACAAACACAACTGCAGGTATTGGAGTGACGAAAATCCGCATTTTTTCAGGGAAGGGCACACGCAGTATCCAGAAAAAATAAATGTCTGGGCGGGAATTTTAGGCGACCCTGTGATTGGGCCATTATTTATTAATGGCAATCTTAATGGTGATACTTACTTGGAAATGTTAGACACCACCATTCAACCTCTCATTGTTGAAGAAATTGAAAATCAGCTGGACATTGACGGAAACAGGAATCTGAATAACATTTTAATACATTTTCAGCAAGACGGAGCACCACTCCACTACGTTCTTCCAGTCAGGCAAATTTTAAATGACGCTTTTCCAGGTCAATGGATTGGACGGAGAGGTCAAATCGAATGGCCGGCAAGATCTCCCGATCTAATACCTCTTGACTTTTTCTCTAGGGACATTTGAAATCCATCGAATTTAAAACAAAACCGGATTCAATAGAAGATCTTCGGCAACGAATTATTACGGAATGCAGCAATATTCCAAGAGAAGTGTTCCACAATGTTAGAACAGAATTTGAAAATCGATTATACTATTGTTTAGCACAAAATGGAATGCATTTTGAACATCTAATCAAATAAAATATCATAAAAAATTTTTATTAGAATTTTTTGTTTTTGTAATGGAAAAAAATTCTTGTACAGGTGAATACTACTAAATGAGAACTTTCATTTAAGGTATAACAAAAGGGGTAGTGCCATTTGACATTTTAAAGTTGGGGTGTGTCGCGCCTAAGGGGTGCCTCACCCCTTCACTGAAATATGGTGGTTCTAGTTCCTCCTAACTATATAACATTTGTGCCAAACGGCGTTTCTCCAACTTCTTTATTTTGCGAGATATTCGCATTGAAAGTTTTCAAATTGACACCCTGTATAGTTGATCAGAAATATAAATATTACTAGTTTTTGAGAATTACTGTTTCTATTTTATAATAGAGACATCCCAAAATAACTCTGTTTTTTCAGAAAGATTATAATTTGAATAAATTTTTTTAATGTCTACTTCTTATGTTTTCGGGGATAATACCAAAGATTTTAGAAGCCGTATAGATGAATGACCTCTAACACGGTGATTTAATCATTTTAGGAGGAAATAGTGTTCGTGTCCAAATATAGATGTAACTGTAATTTATTGATTTATAAACCACCATTTGGCAATTTGCCTAGTAAAACCATTCGGATTCTGCATTAAATTACCTGCATTGGAGTTGTAACTTCCTCAAAACGATGTTTTATAATCAATCGCGGCGTACCTCAAGGGTTTAAACTGGGATCCCTCTATTGTTTTTATATACTTCTCAATTTGAGACGTACTTTCCAAAAATATGATCCATTTTTGTCTATCTCTACGAAATATTATTATTATTAGTATTATTCACTGACATGAGCTGAGAACCGAAGTCCTATAAAGCATATTATTCAAAAAATTTTAATTAAAAAAAAAAATAGTATATTATGCAACGATCATGTAATAACCATTACATGAGAGTTGCATACGCTATTTTTTCTACACCCGATAAATAATCAAGACCTATAAATATTATATTTATATTGGTATTGAACACAATAACAGTAATTACTCGTATTTCTATAAAAAATTCTACAAAATTGTAATTAATGGTATTACTTCAGGTATTGGTATTTCCCTAGATTTTTGCGGTAAAATATTTTGTACTGTATTTTCTGCTTTCTCCGATATGTGTGGAGGAGTCTTCTATATCGCTAATATCAGACATTTTAATATTATAATTATCGAAGTTTAGCTACCTACGAAAATTTAATACGTTTTGACAACTAAAATAATTACATAGGAACCTAGGACAAACGTCAAACAGCATGCTTGATTGAAAAATTGTAGGTTTCTATTGATTAAAAATCTGTATCGTAATGAAAAATCTGTATCGGATTATGGGCATATAAGTGCATTATTATAATACGGGTGTAGAAAAACAATTTTTTTTTAATCTGTAAATTATAACTATAATCTGATATTAAAAAAATAAAATGAAACTGTAATGACAATAAATTACGTTAAGTTAATTACTTAATTTGTTGTGATTATAATTTATTGTCTCTATACAGATACATACTTAGCCTAAGGAATCAAATTTGTTTTTAAAAGAGTTAACTGAAGGTACACATACAACGTTATCAGGTAAATTGTTCCAAACAGAGAAAACTCGGTTTGAAAGAACATATTTGCATAACTCTAGAGTTAAAATTTTCTTTTTTAAATTTGAACATGTGCCCACAAAAGCGCAGATCATTATTTATAACAAATAAATCCGAAAGATCGACACCGAATTGCACGAAAACAAACGATTAAATCACCACGCAGTCGACGCTCACTAAAAAGAGTCAGATTAGCCGTAGACAGACAGGACCATAGTACTCCAGGCGAGGACGAACATATATTGTGTATATTTTCAAAAATGTTGAGGAAGAAACATTGCCAAAAGTCTTTTTTAATAAGAATAGTTGAGAATTTGATTGTTTGCTTACTGATAATATATGCTTTGACCACGTTGAGTCTTCAGTAATAATAACGCCGAGATCATTTTGAGACTATACTGTCTTTAAGGCATTATTATTAATATTATACACCAATTTAGGATTCTTTTTACCGATATGAAGATCAACACATTTATCAACGTTTAGCGGTAATAACCAGTCTGAACCCCACTTTGATACCGCACTTAAATCAGACTGATAGTCCCCAATCGGATTAGCGTAAATTTTTGTATCGTCTGCGTAGAAGGAGCAACAGCTTTTTATGTGCACAGAAATATCGGCAGAATATAATAGAAAAAGTAGGGGACCAAGGACTGATCCTAGAGGCACTCCACTGACAACGGATTTGGTTTGAGAGAAACTATGCCAACTCTTACGCGAAATTGTCTGGAGATTAAGAAGTCCGTTACCCAATCTATTAAGTTGCTTCGAATTCCCAGGTGTTCAATCTTTTTGAGGATTCGGTGCTTTGGAACTCTATCAAAGGCTTTAGAAAAATCCAAGTATATAACATGTGTAGGAAGACCAGCATCCAAGGCTTTTGTCCAGTCATTGACAGATTGTAGGATGGGAAGTATACGTTCATTTACAAGAAAGTCCATTACTTTTCAAACTATTGGTACAAGACTTATCGGTCTATAGTTATTTGGGTCAAGCTTATTGCTCTTTTTAAATATGGCAGTCACTGACGCAGTCTTTTTTATAGATGGCAAGATGTGAGAATTAAAGGAGGAGGCCATTATACGGGAAATGGGATAACAGAGAGTGTCAGCACAAGAATTTAAAAGAAAAGAGGAGATACGGTCTAAGCT